GTCCAGTGTCCCGACCAAACATCAGTCGGGACACGGGACAAACAAGCAAATATCGGGACGTCTGGTCACTCTACGGGGCATGCCGAAGGCACGGGACCGACAGATCACCTGCAGACACGCCGCGTGACCCACGGACCGCCCGCAGGTGTGCCGCCGAAGGCCGCCTGACTGCCGTGCTTGGGGTGGCAAAAAAACATAGAGCTGCCCCTGCAGCTGGTGCAGTAATTGGTTGCTGGTCTCTGGCTAGGCAATGGCACCATGCCTGCCAAAGAGGCCTGTGCTTCCTCCACTCTCCTGACTGGCCACTGCAGGGTACGAGCCCAGCAACATACAAAAATCTAGATTCGACACCTCCAAATAATCTCTAGCCAGCTGGCAAATCTGTCAGTGAGGAACCTCAGGGCCAACAAGACCATTGACTGATCTTTTCACCCACGTATCAGCTTTCTGAAGCTGACTGAAGCCACAAGAGAGTTGCAACAATCATCCTGCACAAGTATCAACATTTTGGTTTTGTATTCTAATCTTTATTAGTGGCAGGACATCTCTAGCTCAGCATTTTTGCACTTGTTTTTAACGCCAGCAGGTGAGCATGTGTGAGCACGCACAGGAGGGCGTGGGGCCAGATACTTGAGAATGGCACCGCTGCGGTAGTTTCTCACCTACCTAAAATAGCCCTAGTTAAACAGCCTGCTGGCCAATAGACCTTACACACATTTCATGGTTTAGGAGTTGTATGTTTAATCTGGGAAATCATGTTATTTTCACCTACATTTGACATTTTAATAGTAAATGTAAATTATCTTGCATTGTATTGGAATGTTTCATTGTAACTCTCTGATGATTAGGTTGGTGTGAAGAAAGGAGATTGGCTAATACGTAACCACCAATCATTTGGGCAAGCTGCCTTAATTGGCACCAGAGCTGTAGTCTCCACATTGGTTTCAACTCGGGAGTGATTTGATGCTCGCTATAGCAGCTATTTGGCAATCAGCATTGAGAGTGATAATGCCCTGTTACTGTTAAGGGCTAATAGCTAAACAAGACTGCTGCCTTCCCTAATTATTACATGGAGCTTATAAGGAACTATTGGTTTATTGATGGGATTTAGTCACCTCAATAATTACATTAATTTGGGGATGCCATAATACTGCACTTACTTCTAATTTGATTTGTTTATACATATTTTATCCTTTTGCCTA